TTGACAGCTATTTTTGAAGCTCAGTGTGAGAGGCAGAAAAGCTAAATGACTATAAAAAATCAGCCTATAAAGTGTGAAAGTGTAAGTTTAATTCTTGCGCCAATTCTATTTTTCAAGCATTTTGCGTTAAAAAAATTGCTTAAAATATGATTATAAAATTGTGTGCGAATAACAATTTTTATTAGTTATTGTCAGAAAATTTTTATCAGTTTAAGCAGTTATTATTTTACATTACCAATATTAATATTTCTTACTTGGTGTTGACACAGTTTTCAATTATATTCATTTTCAAAAATACACTAAGAAAAATTCTTTTATATTATGATTAATCTGCAAAAAATAACGGATTAGTCTCAAAAATTGTCGTTTTGATTTTCTGAAAAATTTGTAGTGACGTGTGATAGGAAGAAAACAAGTTTTTGGTTTCTAAGATGGAACTTTACCACTAACTAATTCCTTTCAAAGCACAAACTTTCCCCTTTGTGCATTTTTTGTAGTATGTGAAATTAATAGCATGTGCTTTGCTTAAAACAATCACTAAGCATTTTGTAATCTATTGCAAGTTATTTGGCTCATAAGCGAAATCTGATCAAAACCTTAGTTGAACTTTTGACCTGACTGAGAATACTTTAATATGTCTAATAATAATATGCATTTCGCGATCAAAGATGTTACGAGCTATTTTTTCTCGATTTCGCTCCAAATCTTCATAATATATTTGTTTGGATAAAATTACAGGTTCGTACTATGTTGCATCTAAATTGCAGCGTGGCTGATAAAATAATTGTAGACATTATTTAGAATTATTTAGAATCTAAGGAAAAATGCACCATGTTTTTGGCTTTAAAAAAAATAATATATCTTACTAATAAAATTACATTTTAATGCTAAAAGTATTTATCATATATGTACATAATGAAATATGAAGAAAGCATCGAAGAAGTTGACTCTTTGCAGTTGACACTCCTTTAATTGTTGTTTACTTGCCTTCTTGGCGCCGAAGAGGCAATTTAATTCAGAAAAGCCGTACGTGATCTTATGCGTGATGCTAATCTGTCATTTGCACAATATTTGTAAATATAGCATTATAAAATCAATTTTACTGACCTTTAACTCTTAAGTACGCTGCAGTCTTATTAAACTTAATCTTACTCTCTCGCTGTGTGCATTTTCACTATTTTCACACGATCTTTGAATGTTTCTCATTGCACCATTTTTACTTCAAAAAATGTGCCAAATTATTTTCAAAATTACCTCCAAAATGTTTGTTTTACTTTAATACTAACTTCACTGCTATAATTATTTCCTTTAAATGACTAAAAATTTTGCAGTAGTACAGATGTCGGAATTCGCTAGTAAAGAATTGAAGTAAAAAATAATTCAATGAATGCTAAAAAGTTAATAAGGCAATAATAACATAAGCATTAATTTATTTTTTGACTGCTTTGATTAATTTTGGTTCTAATTTCAATTTAATAAATTGTGATCAAAAATAAAGAGTTTCAATGTGATTAGGTACGAACTTTCATCTTTTATATTTAATCATTGAAATTTTCTGAATGCGAAAAGTGTATATCGTATTACTGCTTGACAGATGCGATACAAATCTTTATATAAAATTGGTACTAATTTTGCATTGAAATGTAAGTCAGTTAATGCATTGTTGAGAAGCTAACATTGTTAACAACTAATAATTATGCTCAATAATTAATATAAAATTTGAGCAAATTAATTTTGACAGATTAAAAATTTCGGTTGTAAAATTAATTTAAATTCTAAATAATTTGAAACTAACTAGTTTATCAATGTTTATTATTATAAAGAATGGCTACTACTTATAAGTAATAATCAAATTTAAATTGTCATAATTTTTGAATTTGTATGTTTGCCCACTAATTATGAGCTAATTATTACACTTTTAGTTTTTATGCAACATCTCAATGGCACTGTTATCAAGAAAGGCAGCCTTTTGGGAATTGTTTTACTTGAAATTACTCTCAAGCAAAGCTTTTCATTTTGCCTATGAAAATCATTTACCTTGTAACTGTGCCTGAATTCATGAGGCTATGATATTCATGCTAAGAAGGAAAAATTTTAGATTCATATTTTTTATAACATTCATTTTTCTTGCATCGACAATCTTTTTATTTTCATGCATTATTCAGACGTTCTTTTTACTCTTAAATTTTGTATTTACAATTAACTCTATGAAATATCTTTAACATGCGCAGTAAGAATATTGTTCTTGACTGTTCATGTGAAATGAATTATTGTATAGTTATGAAACTAAATAATAAGCAAAGTAAAACAGAATAATATTTCGAAAATCAACCAATTTCAAAACAATAATCACTTCTACTTTTAGAAATACTATTGTTAGAAAACGAATTATTTAATTTTTTATACTTTCAAATTTTGACTAAATACAAGTGTTTCATTTTAAAGTTAAAAATTCAAATTTCCGCAGTCAAAATTTTTGCTTTCTGTACGCAAAATAATGCAAACTGCATTGAACATTTTGAAAATCATCCATGACTTCTAAGCTTTCTGAAGGACAAATCATCGTTGCATATTAAAAAGGAGCAAATAAATGGAGTAAACAATAATTTAAAAATTGGCGTCAGAAGAATTTTATCGTTATCGTTAGTTTATTAGTCATTACAAAAATACTAAAGACATCATGTATTTTTTCTTTAAAATATAAAATAGAAAACTAACTTTCAGTTATCTATTCTTAATATTGCATTTTTTTACTACTAAAAATAATTTAATTTATGCCAATTTTTATATTATTTGAAATGAGTAAGATAATTAAATTGTAATGTTTTTCATGGATTTTGATTTTGATTTGCAGATTTAAGTGCACAGCTCCAAGATAGATAAATAATAGCATATCTTTATCTGAAGGATTAATATTGTCTTGCGAAACAGTCGGGAGATTCAATTAAATCCGAAATGATTAACTAAAATTCACTTAATTAGCCATGCTTGATCGCTTCGCCGTGTAAAGATTGTTTCTTGGTGATATTAAGTTTGTCTGAAGCAAAGTTTGCTCAAACTCTCTCTCAGTAATTATTCTTCTACAATCATTCGATGGGAAAGTGACCAATCACTCATTCTATTTTGGCCCTTTCAAAACTTTTCACTGTAATTTAATTCCCAAATGAGCCTTCCCGCGCTCATTTGGGAATTAAATACCTTTATTATTATTAATCAAACTCGAATTATTCAAATTGAATGACTCAAATTTGTTGTGAATTTTCTGTCATTATTATGGTTTGTTTATATTTTTGTATCATTCATCATTTTGTGTGCAATTTCATTTCAGAATAAGCAGAATACTTTTTTTCAGCTTATATACTAACCTTAATTGACCTCAATGATGAAAAATATATGCTTAAGCTACGCCATAGAAGATTCTAACTGATATTTTAAATTTTTCATCTATAAAAAATAATTAATTTATTCACAAATAAATACTTTTACTGACTGAAAAATCATAATTTTATTGAACTGTTTTTGATGCACTCTTGCCGAGCTGAGTCACTTAACTTTTCAAAAAATAGCTACCAATGCAAAAAAATTTAAAAGAAAAAAGTGTTGGCTGACCACAATTTTTTCGTTTTCATTTTTCACAGATATAAATAAGTAAGGCAGTAGTTTCTTCTTGCATTTAAATGAATTAACGGTGGCAGACTGCAGAAGCTATTCATCAATTATTCTAACGTTGTCAACATTACCTCTGTCATAATTATTCTTAGTGCTGATGATGGCCAGAAAAGAATAGTCAGAGGGTTGCACTGCAAATTTTGGATATTGCGTTGATCAAAGCTGTTCGTATTGTAGTATAAAGCAATTAAGTGCTTTGAAAAAGTGATCTGAAGTGGTTCGATGGCACAGAAAAATAAATTATTGTTGTAAAGTATATTCTGACTGCAAAAGTTGTGTGAATTTCTTTGAATTTCTGCCGGGTACTGTGTCTTTTCCTCTTTGTAAAGCTGCGAGATATGTTTAGACTTAATTCGATAATCATTAATGAAAGATAGCTACCAAATGACCCTTGAACTTCTAGCTAATGCACTAGCCATTTTCTCTTTGCAACTGACCCAGAGAGTGAGAAAAGGAGAAAGAGATAATAACATTTACCAAGGGTCGCGCCTCTCATGCCCTTGCCTTCCATCTATGTTGACCTCTTCCTTGCCTACTCTAAATGCAGCAACTACACATTCATAATGTCAGGTATTTACTGCAGTGTATATTTTTTGACCGATATTTTTTTTATAATTCGCATATAATTATTGCATTGATGAACAGAATAGAACACTCGAATAGTAATAGTAATGCAATGAATGCAAAATTTAATTTGCACATTTGCATACTATAAAATATTAATGTCATTTTTTCGAACTTTTCTTGTTTTTGTTCGAGTTTTTTTATTCTGATGTATTTATTAGTATTAAAATTGTTGTCATTCATTTCCTCTATTCAGATCAAAAAAGGCAGCCGTTTTCTTCAGATAAAAACTACTACTGCCACTTAGCAGTCATTTTTTATTCAAAAGGCACTTCTGATGCAAGATTTAATCAGAATTTCGTTGCGTTTTCATAATTACAATTTTTTCAGTTTTTTGAATTTTCAAGCAATTTTTGGAATGAAAAGTATTATATTAGATTTGTGCAACCTTTCACTACTGTTTCTTAAATGGTTATATAAATTATATTAATATTAGGTTATACTGAATTATGTTAATATTAGTCATACTAAATTATATTAATATTAAGTTTTATTTGAAACAATTTTCAGTCACTTTTCGGCATTTGAAGCATCGTAATATTATTTTCAGTAGACGAAGACTTGGCGATATTTTTATCATTTTATTATCGCTTCCATCTTATTTAATTTACGCCTCGTCCTATGACTAATTCCAATATTACTGATAATTATTTTGTTTTCTTTGTTTCTAATAAATTATCAACTGTATTAGTAAATATTACAAGTTGATGGGTGCTTATCATTTGTTGTTCGCAGCTACACTCTTGTTTGGCTACGCACTTGCTGGTCGTATACGGAATGGCAAACGTGAAGCATACACTTTTCAGGTACTTATTTTTATTTATTTTTGACCAGTATTCTTTGAAAAATTTCTACGATTTAATTTTATCTATACCAATCTGAGTCACATTCAATAAAAGGAAAAAATCTCCAAATGTTTATTGTATACTTATTTTTAAAAGTTATTTCCCTAACAATCAGAAGTTAAAAAAAGTAACTTTAAACGGATTTGCAGTATCTTTTTACGAATAATTCCTTTCAATAACTCCTGTGTCAGAAATGTCTTTTTTCAAGCGAACTTAGAATACTGCATATTCTATTCGCCCTTTCAGTTCGTCACTTTTTTAATTAAATGAAAGCGAAAAATATTTTGGCTCATTTTTGAAAAGCAAACAATTTCCAGCAGTTAACTTTTGAAAATAAAAGCAACTTTGTCACTAATTTAAAAGAAAAAATTCGACTTTTCCTTATTTTCTGAAGAAAACAATTCAAATTAATTCTGTTATCTATCTAATCTGTCTTTGCTCTCTCTGGCAGACTTTTGGGAAAATATTTCTGCAAATCCAGCGTAACCGACTAAAGTAAGGCACTTGCAGTTTACGGCGTCTGTTTATAATGTATCAATAGAAGAAAACACTCGGGGCAAAGATGTTTACGCAATTTCGAATGAAGCCATCCGTATGGGAGTTCCGCTCCCTAATGAAGGCGCCATCGTGAAGTTTAAGATTGTTGAGGTTTGTGTTAACGTTGTCTTCATCTAAAATTATCTCAATTTCGGCTTTACTTATTGAACTTTTTAATTCGAAAACACTATATTTTTTGCAATTATTTTTATACTTTTCAGGGCGATAAACAGTACTTTAAGGCTGAATCGAAAACTGTAGGCAATTTTGCATTTCTACGAATTCGACATCGAAGCGATGATATAATTAACCGAGAACTTAAGGTGTGCTCAGAAATGCTCTTAAAACTTTCCAGTAAGACTTCAATAAAACTAGATGAATTATTAATTATTGTAACATAAAAAAATCAATTAGTGGTTTTCAATAGGAGCGCTATGAATTTTTGATCAAAGCATTTTGTCGGAGAAAAGATGCAACAAATCTAGAAACAACTGCTGTAGTGAATCTATTGGTAACAGATCAAAACGATGCTAGACCGATCTTCGAGCAAGTGGAATACCGAGCTCAAGTCAAGCAAGATGTTTGTTTATGACTAAAACTTGTTCTACCAAATTTACACAATGTGAAAATTTGATATTCAGCTGAAATTAGTTCTAACTTGTGCATGAAATGGTTGATAAAATTCGCAAAATAAAATCATTCATCATTGCAGATAATGCCCTTCAGTACTATCTTGCAAGTTCAAGCTTCAGATGCTGACATTGCCCTCAACAGTCAAATCTACTATTCATTACTAGAACCATCAAATGATTTTATGATTGATCCTATTTCTGGTGCTATCCGAAATTTGAGACCCTTAAAATCTGGAATTTATGAATTAACGTTACTAGCTGAAGATCGAGCTTCGAGACTTTTCCACATGAAAACTCAAACCGACCTCGAGAATGATCACTTCAATCGCAACAGAGCTAAAACGGTTCTCTTTATTGCTCACTGACTTCCATTTGAGACGGATACCCACCCTTAAGATATAAAAAAACTAAAAGAACTTCCTGATAAGTTAAATTGAAAGTAATTCATTTCCTAAATTGATTGTAGTCACCTGTAATGATAAAAAAATACTGCACTAAAATATTTATTATTATTATTTATTATTATCATTTATTATTATTATTGTTATTATTATTATTTATTATTATTAATTATTATTACTTTCAGGTAATAATAGTAGATTCAGTGAAAAAAAATGAAAGCAAATTGGATATTGAAGTGAAGCCTATATTAGCCACATTATGGAATGTTACGCAAATCGTTGCCCTGGTAAAATTAAAGAAAGCCGCGAGTAAAGACAAGTGGTTTAGCGTAGATATTATTGATGGAGAGCATTCAAATGGTTTTATAGTGAAAAAAGATACGGAAAGGAAGGATGTTTGGTTCATTGAAACTATTGCTGGTTCGTTGCATTTCTGAAGTCAAAATTAGTGAAGACCTTTCATCCCTAAATGTATTACAAATGCGCAAAAGTCGAAAATAATTTGCAAGAATTATTGTACTCAAAGAGTAGGCTGTAAGTGTACTGATTTTCAAGAATGGATTGCATGCATTAGTCCAAAAGTAAGCCTTAAGAATGGAAAGGACTGAATTTAGATTATTTCTGTGCAAGGTTGCAACCTTTTTTTATCCAACAATATTTGCTCAAAATCTTCTCGTTGACTATAAAATTTGCAAACTGCGATGAAAACCATTTAGGTATTCCACTGGAAAGCAATTGCTCTTTGCAATTGAAAGCGGTCGTTGCTGATGATATTTCGAATAATTTATTCTCTAATATTAGCATTGAGGTGATTGGTAGACGGATAGTACAATTTGAAGAGGTACCAGCAGTTCATGAACTCATTGTGAATGAGTCGGTGCCATTAGGTTATGCTATCACGCAGCTAAAAGCTCACGTCATCAATGGTTTCTTTGGAGATGATGAACAAATAAGGTTTGCTCATACAGTAAGATATTTAGTAGATAAATTAACTCAAACACAATTATTAATGAAGAAGAGTTGGATAGAATGTGGAATGCATTGGGAAGGATTACAAAGTAAACTTTATCGTATTACAAAGTAAACTTTATCCAGTCAATTACCGCAAGCTGAAGACTTTTCACTATCACTTGCTTATTGATTTAGTGACATCTGTGGTTGAGAAAGCTTTGGTTCAGAGATGGAAAAATTTTGTCCATGAAATTATAAACTTTAGGCATCTATGGTAATTATTAGCAAAAGGTCACAGAAACAAATTTACTAAAAATTTTGAATGTTTTATGCAGGTACTCAATATCACTTTCAAACAAGAGTTTGCCTTTTCGCATTGACGAGAAGAGTGGGTATTTGAGAGTAATGCAATGGCTCGATTATGAAAATACTTCGTTTTATCAGTTCGAAGTTGTTGCTAAGGTAAAGGTATTCCGGACTTGGCAGTAATGCGTGAAAAACTGCTCTAGGCACTGACTGCACCTCTAATCTTGCAATCCGTGCTTTGTGCAGGGCTTAATTATCAGAAATAAAACTTGCAGCTGAAAATTGCTCATCATCGCTTATTAGCAGTTCCGTTAATTTAATTAATCATTGCCAAATTTAAATTAATAGATGCTTTCTCATAAAACCAAATAGCATTTGTTACCTTTTCATTCAATAAACATAATGTATTAGGTGCCTAAGTACGATCTGAAAGCAAGCAAAAAAGTTGAAATAAAAATAGCAGACAGTAATGACAACTATCCAATTTTCGCTGCCAAATGGGCCCGTGGGGATGCGATTGGTAAGTTAATTGCGATTTTGTTTTAAATTCTCTTTGTTTTTGCTACTTTTATTTTAATTTCTTGTTGAGCGCAGAAATTAAAAATATAAAAAGTAGAATCTATTTCAGTTAATGAAAAAATAGCTTACTACATATCAGTTAGCTATATTGTCATTCAATATTGATAATTTTTTGCACTGGCATTTATTTAAAGTTTAAATTGTATGAAGTGACTGCTAAAAATGAATAATAAAATCGTTTGATAACAGACTTAAATTTGATTTGGATATGCAAGTAGCAGAAATTTATTGCAAATTTAATTTTTTCTTTCACTAAAATTGTCTAATTTGAATGGAAGACGAATGGTATTTTAGCTCTTCCACGGAATTTCGCTCTCAATGAAAGTTTATTGAAAGCGGAAGCGCTGGATATTGACAGTGGCGCAAATGGTCAAATTCGATATGAATTGTTTGGGGATGGCATTACAGCAAACAGTGCTTTTGCTATTAATTCTCAATCTGGCCAAGTACTTAAAAATTCTTATAAATTATTAGTAGTGAGAACTTTATCCATTACAATAGACTATGGATACTAACTAAGTGTATTATTTTTAATAATGACTGAATTTATTCAGCTAATAAGTTTTGTTTTGAAGAAATGAGTATTTGATAATAATTCTTGTACTAGAAAATGAAGCTACAAGATTATGTATATATTCTTAACAATTTTCAGGTTTTTCTCCAGCAACGACCGCCCGAAAAAGAATCGCATTGGAAATTAAAAATCAAGGCTTCAGATAATGGTTGGCCATTTCCCAGAAGTAGTGAAGTTATCATCAACGTTTATTTGAAAGATACAAAAGTGCCCTCAAAAACGAGACCTTCACTCATTCGTGAGCCCCAGAATGAACAAGCACCGGTATTCACAGAACAAATGTTACTTACAGTGTCTGCCGATGCTTCACCTGGAAAGGTATTATTGTGGTTTGCATGAAATCTAATCTGATTTTTTTAATAAAATAATTAAAACTATCATGAAGTGCACTTATTTTGCCTTACATCATTACTGAATAAATCGTTATTATCAAATATTAGCTTCAGTATTTTTGTAATGAAATTTTTAATTACAAAAAGTTAGTTAATTAGGAATCTTTTGCATTATCAGAAAGAGTTGTCTAAATTAAGAAAAAACGACCAAGTGTTTTGTTTTTTCATCGTGTGAGAATGTTTTTTTTCTTCAAGTTAAATTTAAAAGACGATAAAACAAAGATTGTACAGGTCATTGGCAAGATTAACGCTCATGATGCGGATATCGGATATGCCGGTCTAGTACGATTTGGTACAATGGATAAATTTTTTGGATTGAAACCTTTCACTGGAGAACTTTTTGTACTGATATCTTTGGTAGATTTGATGAAGATAAAGAATCAAACAAAATTAATAGAATATAAAGTTAATGTAACTGCTTGCGATTGGGGACAGCCTGTCAAATGTACAAATGGAAGTGTAAAAGTATTAATCTCTGAAGCTAACTTGCATGCACCGCGTTTTGAAAAGGTTAATGGATTACTTTTTTTAGATTTAATTCATTTAAAAGTTATCAGAAATGGATTTTTATAGTAGAGGAAATTAATATTTTAGAATTAATAGAAGAAAGAAATATAAACTATGCATTAATTAGAAATTGTCTTAAATCATTCTACTCTAGTCTCACTACCGAGTGCACATTGCGGAAAATACTGAAATTGGAACCAAAATTTTGGCATTATCAGCTCAAGATAGTGATAATGGGGATAATGGACGAATTGGTTATCGGATTGTCGATATACACAGTTATTTTGCAATTGATGAGCTAAAAGGCATTTTAGAAGTTAAGAGCAAGCTTGATCGTGAAGAAAAGCAGTTTCATAGGTAAATTAACAATAATCATTGCAAATCAAACAATTAATTGTTATTATTATTTTCCAGAAAATCAAATTAATAATAATTTATTGATTTCAGATTCACAGTAATGGCTTTCGATCACGGATTACCAATGCAAGTTGCATTTGCAAATATTACCATAATTATCAGTGATGTCAATGACAATGCACCTTTATGTGCTCAATCTGTGCAAAAAGTAAAACTACTTTCATTTACATTTTGAAATTGCTTGAATTTTCACGATTTAATTCATTTCTTGCAGTTAATGGCAGATTCTGTTTTAGTACTCAAAGCATTATTCAACTTGCAATAAATTAGCAGAAAATATCATTGCTGTGAATGCACAGAATGCTTACAAAACACTTAAATTGGAAATCAAAATAAAAAATAAATTCATGAAAATTAGTGTAGCTGTAAATAGTGTAGCTGTAAATTAGCGTAGCTGTAATTAGTGTAAATTCATGAAAATTAGTGAATTGGTTGTAATGCATAATACTCAGGTTTCTGATTTTTCTTGCTGATCTGTATTTGGTTCATGAGAGAGAACTATTTTATTGTAATTCGAAATAATTGACTGTCCAAAAACAAGCCTGAGTATTATGCATTTGAAAGTAATTTAGTCAATTACAACCAATTCTTTAAAATGATCTAGTTTTCAGGTGATAATTCCAGAAGATTACCCAAATAATGCTTTGTTAACGTGTGCAGTAGCGTGGGATACTGATGAAGGTCGAAACGCAGAAATAGTATACACGTTTGACAGCACAGTTGATTCCTCTTCTGCAGCTTTGCCTTTTCGGATACAAGAGGACACAGGGTGTATTTTCACTAATATCAGTGAGCCATTCGACTTTGAGACGGTCCAGTCGTACAGTTTGTCGGTAGAAGTAAGTATATCACATTTATTTCATTTTATTAGCAGTCACGTAAGTGGTATTTATTTTCTTCAAATCTGTACATTCCAGAAAAAAAATTATTTGAATTAACTAATAAATAGTTTTAATTAACTATAGTTATCAATTAAGATGATATATTTTGAAAAGGTGCAGAAAGCGATACTGAAAACAATCTCAAAATAGCGCAAATTTAGGTGATGGACAATGGTGAGCCAATGTTAAGTTCTATCTGCAAAGTAATAGTGGAACTATCAGATGTGAATGAAAATTTATTTCCGCCTATGTTTGATGATATTGCCCAGGAGACAACAATTCACGGTATGAAGTGCAATTTTTCCCGCCAAATTTAATCTCCACTTTTTTCAAATTTTTGTAAATATAAGTCTAATATATGAGCTCAAAAAATTGTAGAAAATATGCCAATATGGACTGAAGTGCTTGCTCTACACGCCGTTGATCCGGATGATTCATCAGCACCTGTCAAGTATTCAATCATTGATGGCGATGGAATTGCTTCATTCACAATCGATTCTGAAGGTATATTCGAAAATTTGTTAAAAAATAATATATTACATAGAAATGAAAATTGTAAGATTACGTTACCTTTTTTTATCTATTTACTTTGTGATCAACCCTCATGAATTGTAAAAACGTGAAACTAATTTTTTCTCCCAAAAACAAGCTAAGCAGTAGTCGAAAATTTCTTTCAGGACTTTTACGTACTACAGTGGTTTTGGATCGTGAAGTATCTGATTTTTACTGGTTAACAATTGAAGCATCTGATCTAAATCCAACTCCTCTTACTTCCGTATTCCACGTATATGTACAAGTTTTGAATCGCAATGACCATGCACCATTGCCGTCACGACCTATCTATTTTGCTAGTGTACCAGAAAATTCACCGGAGGATACTGTTTTAATCAAAGTAATCTCTCGAAAATTTAGAAATTATTTCATATTACTCATACAGCAACATTGGTTGATTGGCAAATATTGCTTGCTAATTTATATTTTCCTTAATTTTTTCAAAAAAATTTTTCCGCCAAAAAATTGCTATGCTTATTAGATTTTGCTTATTCTAAATATTTTACACTTCAGGTAGAGGCTGAAGACAAAGATAACCTTCCTAATCGCTATGGTATTAGAAGTATGCGTTTCAAGATAATTAGCGGTGATCCCCAGAGCTTTTTTACTATTGATGCAAAAACAGGTCATTTTTTATTGTCTAAATTGAATATTAAAGAATGAATGATCATGAAATAATCCCTCGTTACTTAATAATCAAGATGCAAGGCTAATGAAGACAAAGTTATTTTACTATCAGTTCTAAAGTTTAATATCAGAAATGTTTTAGGTTATGTAATAACTCGTGGAAAGCGACGTTTAGATCGTGAGACTCAAAAGGAACACACTGTTACGATAGAGATTTGCGATCAGGGTGACCCAGAGCTGTGTACTACCGTACCTATTGTAATTACTATCACTGATATAAACGACAATGCACCATTTTTTAAGCAAGAAAGTTATAATTTCAATGTACCTGCTGATCAATCTGGTGAATTATGCAGGTAAAAATCAGCATTCTTCCGAATGAAAAAAATCTTGTCTTGTTTAGCAGTTGAAATTTTTATTTGCAGGAATTAATCTTGTTTTATCTCTGTTATAAGTACTCGACAGAAAAAATTTAGAAGGGAATTTAAAAGGGACATTCGTACTTACTTTCCGCAGCCATATTTTAAGAATATTTGCGATTGATTTTGATGAAGGAGAAAATGCTCAATTATTTTACAACTTTACCGAGGTGAAATCAGCATTTTCAATAGATTCTGATGGAAGCATAGCTGCGTTGGAATCACTGAAGGAAAACGAAGTCTACGAGTTGATTGTAAAGGTACATAGCGACAATAATTTCAAATTAGTAAGGCATAGTTACAAAATAATTTTCACATCAACATTGTTTTTGATGCATCAAAAGTTTGGGATGAACATATAATGCAAATTCAAACAACTGATTGAAATTAATCATTCAAGTTAGAGAGATGATTGGACTTGATTTATCATTGACCAGAGTTTAATTTTTCAAAATTTAATCAAGTTTTTGGCTTTTTCTTGTAGATATAAATAAGTAGACTTAAAATTGCTTATTTAAAAATTACAGAAAAATTTTGCAGGCCAGCGATATGGGTAAACCACAGCGGACATCATCGCCAGTTTTGATCACATTAAATGCTATCGGCAGGCAAAAAGAAGTAATCAAATATTTAAGTTTGGCATTAAATTTTAAAGGACTACGCGAAATAATTTTTGAATAAATATTAATTTAAATAATTTGTGAGTTAAGTGCAAGAAGTTTTCAGACAAATGGAAAGCCAAAGTTACTGAATGCAAATGCCTGGAATCGGTTATCGATATCAGATGCAGACAGCATCGGTGAAACAATTGGACTGATTGAGGCTGAAGATCCAAATGGCGATCAATTGTGGTGGAAAATCATTAGTGGCAATCCAAACAATTTATTCGCAATAAGGTTAGGTTGGATTTTTACTTTTATTCATGATATACGCGACGTTTCATACCCATTTACTTGGAAGATTTTGGCTTATTTTTAAAATACCTTTTGAGTAAAAACAGGGTTGAATATCGAATTATTACAGTGATAATTTCATCGTCAATTTGGAAAAAGTTATATATTTTTCAGATGTGATGCAGGAGAACTATACTTAGCTAAAAGTATTGATTCCATCAACAATAACATCAGTGAGGTTATTTTGGGATTCAGCGTAAGCGATGGTTTTGATTCTACAGAAGGCGAAGTTAGTTTGCTAGATAAAATCATTTTTAGTAAATAATTTTATTGCCGTGAAAATGAATGTATGCAAAGTCTTTCTTTCTTCAAATTGTAAAAGAAATAGTGAAATACTGAAAATGGTAAAACAGAACTGAAAATTAGTTATAAATGTCAAGTGTCTCTATTTTATTAAGAGGATAAGTTGAAATCATAACAGGAACACTTGCAGATAGTAATCGAGATATTGCGAGGATATCGAAGACGACCTGAATTTAATGCGCAGCATTACAATGTTCAGGTGCGTAGGAAAGCATCAGTAGGCACTGTGGTGCATACTTTAAAAGCGGCCGTACAACAACTCAATGGATCTCTTAATAGTCGGGGCATTATTTTCGGGATACATTTGGTGGAAGACATTGCGATGGCGAATAAATTGCGAATCGATCCAAGGCACTGATTTAAAATTGATTTCAGTACTGAGAAAATAAATAAAAAATGTTTACTTTTAGACTTAATTTAATTTTCTGGGTCGTTTAAGCTCTGGACAAGTGGTTGTTGCTGAGCCACTCGACAGCGTCATTACGAATTCCTTTACAATAATTGCTTACGCTCGTTTTAACCAAATGAGCAATTATGCATTGCTCAGCATATCATTGTATGATGAAGTCAAAAAACCACCGAAATTCGTTCTGTCGGAGTATTTTACATCTGTTCCAGCAAGGTCGCTTTAGATATATATACTTTTCTTATGGGCGCTTTAATATTTTTTATTTCGATTGGTACCTTAATCCTTAGTATTTAAAGCTACGCAGTGATCAGACGAAATCAGTAATTTGGATAAATTTATTATCTGATCAATAATACGTTCATATCAAGTGTGCGCTTTTGATTTAAATTAATTGTATCTATTTTCAGTGCATCAAAAATTTTATTTTCAGCTCTACAGTTGGAATGACTGTTATCACAGTCCATGCATATGATTTGACTGGCGATAACGTAGAATATTCCATAATTGAAGGTAATAATGTTCCGAAGTCTTTTAAATCAAATCGATGACTCACGTAGCCAGGCATTTTATGTATGATGATCTTTCATGTCTTCATCTACTCTAATTTTACATATTTAGTTGCCAATAACATACTTTGTTAGTAATTGACAAAATTTCAGTTAGTTTCAAATTCTTGTGACTACTGTCTTGAGCAAACGTTCGCATTGTTTGTTAATTATTTTGACAACTCAAAAATTATTATGTAATTCATATTCACAGGTAATGAAGATGGTTGTTTTATAATTGACAAAGAAAGTGGGAAGGTCAGAGTGGCAGCTCCACTGATAACATGCAGTCAGGAAGAAATCACACTGATTGCACAAGCCGTCAATCAGCAAAGTGATGAGTTATCTGATCGTTCTATTATTCGAATAAGTATTATTGCTGATGATTTTGGACGTGTTTCTTTCCCAGAGTAAGTGAAAAGTCTTTGTACTGATTTATTTTTTGTTTTCGAAATTAAACTGAAAATTGTCTCTAAGATATTTACCAGCTTCTTAATTTCTGGAAAATTCATGCCATCTGTTAAAATATTTAAATGTGAAGAAAGTTTTTGGATGAAATATTGTAAGCAATTGATTTATTTTAGGTCATCCTTTTCGTTAACTCTCTATGAATCAATGCCACCGAACACCATCGTTTACACATTAAGCACAAGCAGCCTTACAAGCATTCGGTACAGTTTCCGTGACCCTTGTCCCTTACTCGCATTACACCCGATCTCGGGTGTCATTTCGACAAAAGTTCTGACTAAATCTGCTCCACAAACTTGTATTGCTGTCGGTCGTAATTCGCTAGGAGCTGAAGACTCAATATTACTAAAAATTAACGTATTAGTTTTTCAAATTTACTGTTATTATCAAAAAGAATGATAGTACACAAACTCAGATTAAAAATTTTTTGACAAAAAAATTAAAATAAATAATTGAGCGTGTAAGCAACACTATTATTTCATGACCACTGAAGATTTACTTAATTACAAAAACTATGTAATGATATAATTTTGGAATTAACTTTTCAATTCAAAAATTTTTCTTCGGTTTTAGCTTTAAAAATAGGGTCACTATTAACAAATCATTTCATAGAACATAACTTAAATCTTGCGCAGTTTATGATTTCAGGTTATCAGCAAAAATAAACACGCACCATTTTTTAGTAATACTGTTTATCAGGGATATATTCAAGAAAATATGCCTCCAAGTTCGGTTTGCTTAGTCTTTTCGATTTTTATAATCACTCAGATTAACAAATTTATGCTAGATTGTTGTTGCAGTAAATAATGAAATTAAATTTCAATGAAAATGCTTCAGAAATCAGTAGAATACTAGAACTGTCAAGTTTTTCAATTTATACTTATAGATTCATCGGTACTTCTCTCGAACGGTCATCAATTGCATGTAAGTGCAGTTGATCATGATAGTGGAATCAACGGACTTGTTAATTATCGTATTATTTCACCGATTGAGCCGTATTTCGCAGTAGATTACATTTCAGGCGCTATTTTAACGAAAACTGAAATCGACTTCGAAAAAGTCTGTCTATTTTTCATAATTATTTTCAACAAATAGTGTTGATTTCATTAATTTTAAACCAAAATATTAACTAAATATATTGAGAATGGGAGGTAAATATATCGCAAATTTAATTTTAATTTTGATTTTCTAGTATTGGCCAATGACGGAATGATTACAATGATATGTGATCATTGTTTTTAAATTTAATTCGAGTTGAACTATATGTAAACCTTCAAAGTTTTTGCTCTTTACAAACACTCTTCGTTATCACATATTAGCCGTATCAATTCTAAGTGTGTCCGATGCAACAAGAAGAAGATTTCATGAAATGTCTTTAAGGTCAAGCAGTGGTCATTTTACGTGCAGGCAAGTGATTCCGCGCCATCGATGCTAACATCGCCAGTTCCAGCGTTAGTTCAAGTAACTATTCAGGACATTAATGATGTAGCACCAACTTTCGCACAAAATCATTACAACACTACTCTTCTCTTGCCTACTCTCAGAAGTAAGTATACGTTGAAACTTTTTGCTCTTTTATATTTCTTTTGTCGTTTTAATTTCTAAATGAGTGATCACTGAAATTTGAAAGGAACAAAGTTTAAAATCTGTGGAAATGCTCAAATGTGAGAAAAAGTGCGAAATTTAAAGTTGTCGTTTTTTGCAATATTTTCTATTTGTTTACTGCATTCCTGTGAAGAAACACGATGTGTGTATCACTGAATGCTTAAAAATATGTTAATACTTTTTGATGGATTGCTACAGCTTTTGAAATGTTAGAAAATTATTTCACGCTAACTTAGTAAGGCAACAAAATTGATCTAATCGAAATATAACTAATTGTTCTGCGAATATTGCTCATCTCATAATATCGTAATCAAGAGTGTAGTGGAACCTGCAAGCTGAAAAATCTACATTTGTAATTAGCATTTGAAACAAAAAAGCTTTTTTAAGACGCAACAGTATGCCATATAACGGCACAAGACATGGATTCAGTGGGTATTTTACGTTATGCCCTTGTTGCATCTGAAGATAGCAAATTGTTTGGCGTCGAAGAATTTACTGGACGTATTTATACGGATACTGATACCGATGATTACGTGAAAGATACATACACGGTAAATGAATTATTATTGGCAGATTTTTTATCTAAAGCTTTCAGTTTATTTTTTTTTAAATGAGTCAAAAGTAACATATTTCCAGATGTCTTTATCACTTCTGGTAAATTTTCCAAAGCGAGAAACTAAATATATTTCAAATTTTATGGTCGTGAAATTTCGTTAAATATAAAAAAATCATTGGGCAAAAAAAATAAAAATTTCAGGTCAACGTAATTGTATCCGATGGCTTGGTCTCAGACTCGACTGTATTATTAATTCATGTAGAAAATACTTCACAAGTCGGTAATACGATTAAGTTTTTGTCTGCAAGTTATGAAGCGGTAGTGCAAGAAAATCTAACTTCATCCGTACCTATCCGATTACTCACTGTCAAGGCTAAAAGTTCAAGTAATGATGAACTATTATATAGTTTCTTAAATCCCAGCAAATATTTCACTATTGGAACGACGTCTGGTGTTATATCGTGGACAGGTGCAGTCATCGATCGAGAAGAAGTTTCTGTGATTCAATTTCTTGTACAAGTATGCTCCTAAACTCTTCTTAAGTTTTATCGATTATTTTGGTGCTTAGCACAAAAATTCGAAAGTACTAAAATAGTTGGAGTTAGTGGAGATTTTATCAATGAAGATAGCAACTATTAATGTAGTTAATTACAATCACTTTTTTTCAGAAAATTGTAAAACGTGATAGGCATACTTTCAGGCACGTCGTTTAAAAGGGGGCAACGAAAAGGCGCAAAGTATTATTACAATTAAAGTTGAAGATAAAAATGATTGTGCTCCACATTTTATTGGTGTTCCGTATGAAGCTTCGATTTTACGTGATGTCAAGCCTGGTGAAAAAGTAATCAACGTGAAAGCTATCGATGCTGATGAAAAATTCAATGGAATTGTCAGGTTCGACTGCATTTTCAAATTTGCATAGATTTCGTCCCATTATTTGCACTAAAAACATCAAATTGAAAGACTGAATGTCATCAAAAAATTGGAAAAGCAATTTGATGCCATAATGATTTTTTGCTTGGTATCAAAATCAAATGTATATTGTAAATTTTTAGATATAAATTGAAAACGAACTCAGAATATTTTGATGTCAACAAGTACGACGGCAGGATTTTTGTTAAAAAAGTATTGAAAGATTTAAATTTCGAAAATATTTCACTTCAAGTTATTGCAACTGATCAAGGTAAGGAATAGATCACTGATTGGATCTCGAAAGATTTCGTTATGAAATTCGAACAAATTTATTTCAATAAGAAATCGAAATTAACTGTAATTGAATATGGATATATTTCGATATCTACTATATAATGAGCTGAATGTAATTAGCTATCCAATGCAGCTTATTGTAAAACTTTTTCTTACAGTTGCAGTGCTCTAAATATTAGTGATAATTAGTTAATCCTTTTTATAATCAAGTGAAATGAGCAATCGTTCATTTCTTTGCGTAGAATATTTTAATAAACCTCAAAAATCTATTAATGGTATTATTTTTATTCTAATTTTGGATTATGAACCGCTTAGATATTTAGCTTTTAATTAATTTATAATAATTTAAGTTTATTTTGTTCTAAAATTTGAATCATTTTCAAAACCGAATTATTGTAAAGAAATTAATGTTAAAATTGGTACAGGCAAGCCTTCGCTATCGTCGCTGGAATTTGTAATGATAGTAATTGTTGATCGTGAAGTGCCAATCTTTGTAAATCGTTATCAAGAAGTACATATTCTTGAAAATGCAGCACCAGGCTCACTTGTATGTAATGTTCGTGCTGTTAGCAACGCGCCTTCAGGTAGAATAGGTTATGTGATCAAATCTGGAAACGATCAAAGTCATTTCAGAATTAATTTTGAAACAGGTAATTTCTGTTAAAAATCTCTCTAAACAAATGAATATACTTTTGCATTTTATTTGATAAATGTAGAAAATCATTTGTAACTTTAATACTTTTGTAAGCAATTGATGCTAACTCATTTTCCAAAACTTACTGCTAAGCTTAATTAGAACTGTTGCCTTCGCCATAGTTCAAATATAAGCTGATTAGGATCTAAAACATGGAACAAGATGTTTTTTCTACTTCATTAGCTGAAATAAATGATATTGACGTGACTGCACGTGAGAAGTACATTCCTTCATGCTTGATTTTAGCGTCTTTTGCTGAATGCCTTTTGTCATAGAGAAAAAAAAGTAGTTTAATAAGTCTTTCTCAAATGTTCTCATCTTTAGGTGTTCTAAGTGTTCATAAACCGTTAGATCGCGAAAAAATTGCTTACCATAATTTGACGATTGTTGCGTTAGATGTGACAAAGCCAGTTGCTCGAACTGAAACTTTTGTAATAATCAAAGTTGATGATAGCAGTGACTCGGCTCCACGGTTCAGCCAATTTATCTATGAATTATCAGTTAGCGAATCATTACCAATCGGTTCTCAGCTATTAAAAGTTTGTTTAATAAACATTTGTATTTTTCTACCCAGATTCACGTGATAATCAGGTTATTATAAAACTGCAATCCCATAAGCATTACTTTTCCGATTATCAAATGCAGTCATCAGGTATCATTGTAGGTGCAAGCAACTGATCCCGACCTGAACGATAGCTATATTGCTTACGGAATAACCGGAGTTAATGCTTCAAGTAATTAGATCTTTCATGCTTAATTACTTTTCAACTATTCTAATGAAAACAAAAAGACCAGCAAACGTTGAAAAATTGATGCTGTTGTGTAATATCACGTATTAGTAATATCTTTATTTTTTGTTCCATATTTTAACATTACAGTGCTTGCTATCGATTCGCAAACTGGTATTATATCACTTATGAAGCCAATGGATTACGAGACTAAACGCTTATTTAAATTTAAACTTACTGCTTCTGATGCTATGCAGTTGACGTCAGAGTCGGTAATTTTTAATTGCTACAGTTGTAGCACTTGAAACTTCCAAAGCTTATTGGCTGCATCAAACTATTTTAGGATTTAGTAATTCATGTGCTTGATGCGAATGACGTGCCACCAAAATTTATTTCTGGTACTTTTCGTAGTATCATTGAAAGTGAAGCAGTGGCAAATCACTTCGTCACAAAACTAGACGCCGTTGATAAAGTATATATTTTTGAAATTATTTCAAAAATATTTGCCACAAATTGAAAATTCTAAAAATACATGTATATATGTGAAAACAACACGTGAAAAAGTTGCAGATTTATTGTAAAACCTTTTAAAAAAATGAAAATAAAAGTTGTTGGAGCTTAAATCGATTAACATGTAGGATACGATCTCAAATGTGGAAAATGGCAACCGATTCCGATTTTCGATTATAAGTGGTGACGAGACTTTGTTGCGTATTAATCATTCAAATGGTATGATAACACTTTTGCGCGACATTGCTGAAGATGACGTGAAAATCGGAACAAAGCATTTTAACATCTCGGTTAGTGATGGCATATTCACTGATTTTTGCTTGTTTTCATTGCAAATTGTTCAAAGCCGCAACACGCTGAAACCTCCACGTTTTCAACAAGGGAAATTTACAACGAATGTACGAGAAAATGGGTTGGTTTTGTTTTAAAATGTCTTGTCTTGCATCAGCATGAATTAATTTTTAAATGCGATCTGTGCACGGAACTTACTTTCATTTGCATAATTCTTGTTTCAGTGAAAGTTAATATTACGAAAAAAAATTGCTTATGTTAAGAAATTAAACTCTGGTCAACGAAAGAAACTTACATTGTAAATAACAAACTTCACAGTTTTTGCACGGATAAATATTTAAATGAAACATATTTATTTTTGTTGATTGAATAAATTTTCTACTCTGAGAATTTTTTTAAACAGAGCAATTGGTATGACGCTCATAACTGTTGAAGCGAAATATGGTATGCCACCTTTACGGTATTCCCTCAATGGTTGTACTTCAAATTGTTCAAGTGGAATTAGCATTGATGAAAATACAGGAAGAATATTTACAAGGTTTACTATATAATCATAGCAACTCTTGGTTTTTAAGTATTTAAATCTAAACTTGCACATTAGAAGCTTTTCAAATTTCAGTCGTCAGTTTGATTACGAGAAAAAACGTTTTCATCACGTAATTGTTGTGGTTACTGATAATGATAATAGACGTGCTTTTGCTGCATTGACTGTGAATGTAATCGATGAAAATGATAATGCACCCAAATTCGTGTCTTCAAGTATCGAAACATCTGTTTCTGCAAACGCTCAACCTGGAGAATCCGTAATTATGGTAACTTTTCCATTTGATATTCAAATACTCTCATTTTTATCATTCACATTTGACTATAGAAATTATTTGCATATTATGAATTAAAATGGACTCCTTTAGTTAATAAATATCGAGCTTATTCTCAAGCAAATTAATTTTGCTCAGTAAGCAGTTACTTTGTTCATTTTTTAGAGCACATTTTTTTGTTTTTGTTTTTTCCCTCTAAAACATTGCAAATTTTTTATTATTCTGGAATATCTTTTTGTTATCGTTGTTTCCAGATCTTCTTTGAATATATTTGTAATATCTCTTGTCTAAATGAATAACTCTGACTGTGAGTGATTTTTAATACTTCGCCAACATTGTCTTAACTAATTAGTACCGTAACAAATGAGATTCAAGTTTTGTTTCAAACACCCAATATTGTATAGGTGTTTGCAACGGATGATGATGTTGGCGATGAATTAGAATACAGTATTGTTATGGGTAGTGACCCTCGTTGGAAGTATTTTATGATCCATTCAAAGCAAGGTCTAATTAGTGTGCTAGAACCACTGAATGATCTCGGTTTGTTTTGTTTTTACTTTGAAGTAAACTTTTGCATCAATCTCTGTGTTTTAATTTGTGAGTCTCAGAGTTTTCAGCAATTTTATATTAGCAGTTTATTGTTTTGTTTCTTAGTCTAATTTAAAGTTCAATGTCAAGTTGTTCGAGTATAATTTTACATTCAACGTTTAAATATTTTTGAATAAACTGGAATAAAAAACAAATTTTAAGTTGGTGAGCGAATTTCGCTATTTGTTCGTGTGACAGACAGAGCAAATCCACCGCATCATAATGAAGCGAAAATTTTGCTTGATATTATTTCGAAGGATAATCTCCCTAAATTCTCCGCACATCATTACCTTTTCTCAGTGCCGGAGAATATTGCTGTGGGAAAAACTGTTGGGAGACTTCAACAAGATTTACAGCAAGGTATTGAGTCTATTTTCTAATTCAGAAATATTTGTGGTTTTCTCTGCAAATAGAGTAAACGATATGCGTTATTACTTTATATAAGCATGCTGTTAAAAGCTGCAATTCAACGTTTTCACGCACTAGAAAGTGCGTATCAAACATTACGCATTGACAGTGCAATAGGTAACAAATTAAGTGTGTAAATCAAATTAATGATCTTTATCTATAAAATAGATCAGATGGTCTAACATTTTTAAAATTTATGATTCTCCAGAAATACCGGATGCTGTCTTTTCGCTGCATAAACCTGACGACTTACCAGATTTTCCATTTTCTGTACAACAAAATGGTCAAATTATTGTTAACAGTGTGTTAAATTGTGAAGAGGTTTGTCTTCTTTATTAATTTGAGACAATGGATTTTGCAATTTAGTGTAGAAAGAATTGTTAGCTAGGTATCCAGAATTTTTGTACCTTTAATCATAATTATTTTGTATATTTTACCTGAATTATAGTCAAAATTGTTCTAAATTTTAGTTTTAAAATTTATATGGAAATTTCAGCTCATTTGCACTTTGATATATCTAGGATGTGAAGCAGTATTTTGTCTGCAAAAATTATTATTAATTTTAAGAAAACTAAATTCAAAATTGTATATATCATTGATATTTTATTTATTAAAAATCGAATCTTTTATTATGTATGATATTGTTGAGTAATACGCTTTAGCAATAGTTGTTCTGGTTTAGATGCGCGAGGCGCGTTTTTTGGTGAGTTTACACCCCGCAAATCAGCTATCTCTGAGTGCGTTATCATTAGTAACAATTAGAATTTCGGATGTCAATGATAACAAGCCGTATTTTGCAAGTGATCATGATCACATCAGCGTCTCAGAAGATTTGCTTATTGGTAGCACTATTACAATTATTGGCGCAGTAGATGAAGATGTTTTCGGCTTGAATTCTCGTATTCATTACGTTTTGGAGGAGGCATGTCAATATTTATTATTATTATTGAATCTTACTATTTTTGTATTTCAGTACTCTTGAATAGGTTTCATACATTGTGAATATAACTGTAGTGTCATAACTATGTCGTTTTATTTGTTTATCTACCATCTCAGGTTTGATCGATGGTATATCCTTTGCTATATTTGTAAGAAAATTATTATATATAAGAAATCATCGAAAGGAGGTTTTTCAGGGTAATAGAAATGGTACTTTCAAGTTAGACCAGGAAACAGGACGATTAAGTCTTGAAAAAACACTGGATCGTGAAAGTATCCAGCAATATGAGTTAGTAATTAGTTGTCGAGATGGGAGTGGACTCAGTTCAAAAATGAAGTTAATTGTTGCAGTCAAAGATGTTAATGATTCTCCACCAAAATTTGCTCAGAATATTTACTCCATCCAGCATCACTTGGAAGATTTGAAATTGGATCAGAAAATTTTGACGCTCACAGTTTATGTAAGATTTCTGAATCTATTATCGTTTTATTTACATAAAATAACTTGGACTTTCTATTTTTGTGCATGATATCTTGTTTAGTATTAACAATTCTGAACACAACAAACAGCGATCCAAAAGTTATAATGATCTAATATTTTGGGCTTCGTTTGAAAAGTTATTGAAAATAACAGTGCACTGCACGACTCATTAAAAGATATTCCAAGTGCTAAATGCACATTGTGTCATTTCACACAAGTGATCCACAGCATTTTTACGAACAAATTCTTATCAAAATTAATGATGCAGTTGTAATGATAGCAATCATTTTAGGACTCCGATTTATATCCTTTCAACATCACCAAATTGTATATTATAAGTGGTAATGAACACGGTGTTTTTGGTTTAGAAGGAAATGATCTTATATTTTGCAAATTTCCAAAGGATTCTGATTCTTTTGAATCGCATCTTGTGATACTAGCACATGATGGAAAGCATACTTCAACAGCTGAAATCATGGTACACTTTTTTATTCATTATAATTTTCTGTTCATAGTACAAAAAAGCATTTGTTTTTCTTAGTTACTTGTTTATTTTTGAGTGAGGTTAGTGCAGTGTTTTTCTTTCTGTTTTGTAATTTAGCAAGAATGAGAATAAGTCCTTAGATCAGGTTGGATGTTTCTAGTTAGTTTTTCATTCAAAATGCCTGTAATAGAATTCGGTGCGTTTTAGAAATATTTCGATAATAAATAGTATTTTAATTTTTTTAAGGTGAAGTTGTTGTCTAATACTTCTCAGTTTCAATGTCAACAAAAGTGTATAGTCAAAAATATCACCGAAGATTCAGCACGTGGAACTGTAATCAAAAGTGGGCAAAAAAATTTGTTACAATCAATGCGATTCTATCTGACAGGCACTGAATCAGACCTTTTCGATGTCAACAAGGATGGAAGTGTATTTCTTCGTGGTGAACTGAGTTCACGTACTTCTAACCAAGTTTGTTTCACGCAATTATCTGTCTGTTATTTGCAAAAAATTCAACGAAAGTTTGATTCAATTGATTGAAAGTATTGTTGTAGATTGAATTATTACTTCGAGGAGAAACAGAAGAAAGTTTATGCATTGAATGCATAATTATTAATGTTGAAAGCAAGAATATTCCCCAAATTGCATTCAAGCATCATGTTTTCCGTGGTTTCGTTCAGGAAAACAGTAGTGCTAGCAAAGAGGAAAGACTATTAGTGATGAGGTTGGTATTTTTAGTACTTTTATCATTAGTTTTCACTATTACAAAAATTTGATATTTGAATTACTCTTGTTTATCGGTTCTATAATAGCTTAAATTACTCTCCAGGGTAGAAGCTGTAGTTGGTAATCAGGAAGGTATCGGTCTTGTCAAGTTCAAATTTAGTGATGTTTCTGATAAGTACCTAGAATTGTTCGAAATTGATGAGGAAACTGGCGTTATAACTGCAATAGCCACTCTTGATCGAGAACAACAGAATCAGTACAACTTGACAGTGATAGCTTTCACTGCGCCAGAATCCTATGATGCCAAAGGTTGTTGTTCACAATAATTTTTCCTAAATTTTTTTGCACATGAGAAGCGATAAAGATAAAAATTGTAAAAAGTAAGAAAATCAAGTAAAATTCATGGCATAGTCAATCAAATTTTATCCAGAATCGTCAAAAGGCTTGCTTCAATTTGATGTTAGAGCTGCAAATTAAATTAGATTGATAACATTTCTTTTCGGAAAGAATTGAACTAAAGTAATATTAATACAGCAAGCGTTGTAATTGACGTGACAGACGTAAATGACAATGCTCCCATATTTGAACACGCTACCTATCATCTTCGAATCGCAGAAGACGAAGCACCAGGCCGAGAGTTAATTCAGTTGAAAGCTTACGATAAAGACGATAAAGAAGTTGTCAGTTACCACATACAAATCTCCGATGATCTGCCTCAATACTTAAGTATAGATGCCCAGAATGGTAAGTATTGTTCAAGTTTTTGCAATAATCTCATTCCTTTGCTGTGATTACACTTGTAATGTGACTCCAAAATAAATTTTCTAGTGATATATTTTACAGGAAGTTTACGGCTAACTTCTGCGCCAGATTTTGAAAAGTTGGAAAGATTCGCAATAACTGTTGTTGCTACAGATTCTGGAACACCACCTTTAAGCTCAACCTGTGCAATAGATGTGGAAGTTTTAGATGTAAATGATAATCCACCACGATTTTCGCAACCACTGTATCAAGCTACTGTACGAGAAAATGCAGAAGTTGGTACTAAAGTTCTACAGGTACTAATTTATTCAATATTGCATTAATAAATTAATCCAAGTCATCATACTAAGAAATATAAGTAAAGAAAGAAGAAATTTACATTCAAATAAATAAATGCTTGGCGGGGTGGTAGATAACTGCTAACGGTTTCAGTTTAAAGGAATTTTTTTTTCAAATGATAATCCACCACGATTTTTTTTCACTTTACAGCTTGTGGCCAATGATCCTGACAGTGAACATTTTGGTAGAGTTTCTTACTTTATCGATAATGATGCAACCGCCTTTACAATTGCAGAAGATGGATGGATTTCAACGCTAGAAATGCTTGACCGTGAAGTGGTATTATTTTATTCTCTCACGCATTTATTTCCTTGCTTTGCTTCACTTTTCTTACTGTCAGTAAGACGTTAAAATTTTATATTATGGATTCAGAAGAATCGAAAATGCGATTCCTGGGATGAAAACAAATTTGTTTTACTTTTAATTTTAGAAACTCTAAAGAATATCTTTTTAATTTTTTGTGTTTTGTATGGGAGAAAATTATTTCAGGCTGCGTTTTTCATCAGATAATATTTTCCAGAAAAGTTGTTAAATTTATTACGAATACATGCATAAAATTTTATTTTAGAAGAGTATTCATCGCTTAACAGTGAAAGCAGTCGATGGTGGCACCCCAGCCTTGTCTGATTCCACCGTTGTGATGATCGAAGTTGAGGACGAGAATGATAATGCCCCTCAGTTTAAACCTTGTAATATGACTGCTGTTGTGCAGGTATCGCCAGTTATACTAATTATAATTATTCATTATAACTTGATAATATTTTAGTTTTTAATTATAATTATTTTTTACATCAGTTTTCCACTCACTGTGTCATTTGCGCTTCCGTTATGCTTTTCTACACACGTACAAAGCGTAGTTTATAAGCGACCAGACATTTCTCTTGAAATGTTTTTTTCATTTCTATTGACATGGCAACTTGCTTTTCGAAACTTTTTTCTATTTTTTTTCAAAACTAAGCTATAATACCATTTAATACTTAAAGATAATTAAATAAAAATTATTTATTATTTTTGTATAAGGTATTATTTGAACGTGAAAAGAGTGAGTTTTCTAACCAATTATCATTCTTCATCTCAGTCGAAATGTGCTGTTTCTCTTTCTTCTGGTTATTTTGAGTGTTCTGAGCTGCAACTGTATAAATTTGAAGGAAAGCGTCGAGCCGGGACATATTATTCTGCCAGTATCCATCATTGATGATGATATCGAGCCGAACACTAATCCCTACAAGTTTGAAATTAAAGGAGACGGTGCTTCGCTATTTGCTTTTGATAATCGTATCAATCTTATCACTACTAAAAGATTACCTCCACATGCTAAGAAAGAAGTTTACCACTTATCAGTATGTATACCGTAATTTTTTATATGTATGCAGTAATATCGAACATGCCATTAGAAAAAGTTTTTTTATTTGCAACTGAATAAGTTGAATAAAAAGTCACTATTCATTTTGTCTAACTAATAAAAAGCAATATTTACTGACAAAAATAGTCATGGTTATTTAAAAGAATAGTTTTTTACGTGAAAGATGTAAAAAAGCAGAGTCAGGTCCATGCATTTTAGATGTTACGAAAAAGTTAATTTTTTCAGATGAAAGCTTTCAACTTAAAAGTAAGTACTTTTCAGGTCAAAGTTTTTGATAGTGGTGGTTTATATACAGAATGCCCATTAATATTGTTTGTGAAGGAGGAAAGCCGTCATTCACCTCAAGCTAAACCCTTAAAAATTACATTGAATACATTAATGGGTGAATTCCTTGGTGGAGTTGTGGGTCAGATCGTGGCAACTGATCAAGTAAGTTTAAATTTTATATAAATTAATGATTTGTTTTGAAGGAAAAATCGGTACTTTTAGATTATTTTTTATATTTATTTATAATCACTGCTCATTTATGAAGTTGTGTGTACTGAGAGAAACATTTATTTTTTGCTAAATTTTTTAGGATTCAACTGATTTGCTACGTTATTCATTATCTGAGATGCCATTAACCGCCAACTCCTGGTGGAATCGTCAACATCAAGCAATTCCATTTAGTGTGGATTTAGAATCGGGTAAAATCATTGGTGAAGCTGATCTTCTAGCTGGGACTTATCGTTTTAACGTTTCGGTAACAGATGGAAAATACATCACCATAGTTCCAGTTACGATTGATGTAAAAATTTACATTATTGCTAGTGTACAAATTATAAAAACTCTTATATTTTGCGAAAAAACTGCTTAATGTTTTAAAGCTCTCTCAGCCTAAGATTATAAATTACATTTTTATTATTCAGTTTTGATCATTTATTCGATACCCTTATAAGTTATAAAAAGAATGCGCTGTATTTTCAAAAAATTTGGTATTGAAGGCATTTATTTACCTTGATGAAAATGACTCACAATATCAGAATTATTTTGCGATTTCTGAAGAATTTAATTTTATAGGTGATGTCAATTGATCAAGATACACTGGATCATTCTGTGAGCATATGCATTCGTAGCCTTGCAGGAGAAATCTTTTTCAGCAAACATGTCAAGAATTTCACAAATTCATTGTCTAAATTCCTCAACGTTCAACCACGAAATATACAGATTCTTTCTGTGCAGTCTATTGCAAGTAATTTCAGTACAATATTATTTTCTGTCTTAAAACATAAAATTTCAAAGCTCTTCATATGATCGTGCTAACTTAATTTCCGAAAAATTTCTGAAATGCATTTAAAAGCCATCTGGATCTTGCTTCATATTCAGATCAACGTCGTCTTTATTTTCGCCATTCCAACAGCAAAACGATATCGGATCAAGATTTAGAAATTTTGTTCACGATATCTCGGCCCGATTCTCGAGGATATCATCGGCCAAATTTTATCAAGCAAAGACTTGAAAATAATATTGCTGAACTCAGTTATGACACTGGCATTGAGGTTTTTTCTGCGTTTTATTTATTAGAAAAAATAGGTGCACATGCATGAATAATTTTATAAATTATCATAAATGCTGTATTAAGTTCTTGAGTTTCCTTTGTCATTAATTTCAGGTAAAAGCGAATATAAATAAAACATTGATGTTTTAAAATTCATGAGCCTTTCACGACGATAGTGAAATGTAGATCTCTCAATTAATCTAAAGAAATTAAATTTCCTTATGAATGTGAAACTACTTATTATTGCTTGATTAATGAGAACTTGAAAATAGTTCACATATTTCTTAATATATGTGTAAAATATTCTTTATCCGCTGTTTAAGATCATATCGGTGATTACGGAAGTATGCAGCCGAGATATATGTGTGCACGGTGAATGCCGAGATCGCTTGTATTTGGATGATGGACAAAGTGTATCTTATCAAACTGAATATCAGTCATTTACAGCTCCAAGATATCTCAGAACATATGAGTGTACGTGTCGCGTCGGTTTTGGAGGAAAGCGTTGTGATGTGCCGATAGATAAATGCAGTCGTGATCAGTGCACAAAAGAAGAGGTTATTTTGTATACTTCGCTTCTTTCAAATTCTGAAATGCGTTCGAACAGAGTTTTTTGTTATGACTTAATAACGAACTTTAAAGTAATCTTTTATAATAATCTTTCAAAAATTATTACAATTGGAATTATAAGCTCAGTTTTATTCAGTTGAAACACTGATTTAAATAAAAACCTTTGAACGATAGGCAATAGTTTTCTCAGTATATTCTGTTGCTGAATATTAATTATTCTTATATTCGACCTTTTATATATAAGAAAGTCTACTGATGTTATTCATAAATTTCTGCCTATTGATTCCATAATTTTGCTTAATTATTTTGTCTGTTTATATGTTTTCTTTTCACAAACTGTCAAACTCATGTGCAGTTACCTAGTTTTCTCGGAAATTTATTAATAATTCATTTTTGCAATTTGCATAATATAATTATTAAACTGGATTAGTTGCAATAAATGAATTGTTGCAGATATGTGTTCCAATGAGTACAAATATTGGATTTGAATGCATTTGTCCGCCGGGTACCGCGGGTGATCGCTGTGCTACTGCTACTTGTGGAAAAGATAAGCGCGAATGCAGTCAAAGTTTGTTTTTTAATTTTTATATTTTTATCACTTTTAAAGTAAAAATTTGGGATTAAAATTATAGTAAGTGAAAAATAGTTTTTACTATCGGTTAATTCAGAAAATAGGATAATATTTTGTTTTGGATTTGGATTACATTTAAGCAAAAAAAGGTGTGAAATCTATTTCTCTTCTGTGAATTTATTGCAAGAAGAACTTTAATTTGATTCTAAGAGGTAAAGTTTACTAAACTATTTACAGACGAAGAAGTCGATAATTTTTAGTATCAAACAGTTCAAGCTCAAATAAAACAATATTTATTCTTTTTAAATTTGAATAATCCACTTAGTTTTTGTGATTGTGAGAGTTTAGCTAATTATTGTTGATGGTAGTTTTTTTAGATGCGGAAATTGGCGTTAGAGGGAATAGTTTTTTCCAGCTTAATGTAGCAAATTCGGTAGAGCGCCGCTTGGAGCTGACGATTAATTTCAGAACAATTAGTACCGATGCGGTGATCATGCATGCAGCTGGAAATTCTGATTTCCATACTATTGAAGTAACAAATTTATGAATAAATCTTCAAACATTATTAGGTACTGATATTACTAAATGTACTAATTATGGTTTATATGGATCTTCGTGTGGCTGAGGAAAGATGAATTCCGATAATATGCATTAGTTTTGAAAGAAGAAAAAATAGTATGATGGAATTTAGTTTAGATTGATAAACGATTTGTGCAATATCGCTGGAACTGCGGTACTGGCCCGGGATTGATCAGAATCAATCAGCTAATCGTTAGTGATGGCAAGTGGCATACGTTGAAAGTATCGAGAAGAAGCAGACATGCAAAGTTGGTACTTGATGAAAAGTTTGAACGTGAAGGTGATAGTTCATCTGGCAGCGATGTGCTCAATCTTTATCAAATGGCCACAAAGTATTTTGCTAAAATTATCTTTACTTTTTAAACATTTCTTCTCTCAATTAATAGCGTTTATTAATGTTTTTTGTATTTGAAATGAGATATTTTTACAAAAATAGAGCGTGTTACTTTCATTTTGATTATGTCATTTTGCAATAACTTCAGTGTTTCTCATTTGATTCATTTTTTTCTCTTCCTTTTTTAAGCATTCATTTTATTTTAGGCTTACTTTTGGTGCTATGGTCTCATTTCCACTACTAATGGGTGATCCATTCTTGACAGCAAGTGATCTAAAGCCAATAGTTACTAAAGGAATGATTGGCTGCTTTGGGTAAATACTATTTTTCTTTAAAATGCTAATTTTTTGAGAAATTTTACGCTACTTGTTTTATAGATACAAAAATAAACGTGGAAAAGTGTGCAACTGTAGAAAAATTTTGCGTTTCTCTCAAACTTTAAAGTAAAAATTATAAATTCGATTAAAAATGTCCATTTTAGAAGCTGAATTTTCATTTTGCTGTCATAAATACATTAGTTGGCCAGCATGCATTTATTTTTTGTCTACGAATAAAAATTTGTTTTTTGATATCTTCAAAAGTATGAATGAATTCTCGACAAAATGATTCTAGTCTTTCATTCTGCTAATCCAAGATTAATTAGCTTATAATTTACTGACAAAAGTGTGTTATCTTTTTATTTTCATATTCTTTTAACAATAAGCAGTTAAAGTAATTAATGTTCAGACGGATACTGGTTGATGGTTATGAAGTGCCAAAAACAAAACAAAATTTGTACCTTTATAATACTCAACTGAACTGCAATGAGATTGTTAGTGTTGTGTGCGCTGTAAATCCCTGCGAAAATGAGGGAACGTGTATTTCTTCCGATGATGGAACGTTCGTGTAAGCGTTCACTCACTACTTGATTAATGATTAATGAAGGGATTAATGATAAAAGAGCAAAATAATAAAAAAATTTAATAAATTCGAAATTGACTACATATCATGATGCTATTCATAAAATATTCGAGAAGTTCGGAACTAGCTTAAACTTATCAAAAAAAAACAAAAAGTCCTTAAAGAAATCGACTTGTAAAAATCTCAAGTCCTTGTATTTGTCAAAAATGTGATCTTTAAGATGTGCTTGTCCTCCACGTTACTCTGGCATCAACTGCGAGATCGATTTAACTCCATGTCTATCACGACCATGTCCTCGGGGCGTGGAATGCGTCAATTTACACAACGATTTCTTCTGCAACTGTCCATATGGTTTTACCGGGAAAACTTGCCAACTTAGAGGTAAATTTGAATAATAGTTGTGGAAAATACTAAGCTTATTTCGTGCACACTTTTTTTGATATGACCTTTCAGAATTAATAGAAATAGATACTCAGCACATTTTAATTCTGCTGATTTCAGGATAATGAAAATGCAAATTTGAGATTATAAGTTTCTTCGTGTTAAATCATGGCGCGATTTTCAGGAGATTGGGATCCATGTTTACCAAATCCTTGTGGACTTTTTGGTAGCTGCATTCGATTACCTCACTCCACTAGTTTTATTTGCAACTGTTCTCATGGCTATTCTGGATCTGCCTGTAAAGGTTGAAATTCATGCTACATTAATTCTTTATACAGCGAAATTTGAAATTTGGAAAAGTATCGAAATTAAAGCAGGTTAAATATTTAGTGTGAAAGCTGTTCCGTTCACAGCTTTTATCTTCAATCGAGAGTATGAAGAACGTTGAAAGTAAATTTGACTGAATGAAAATAATCAAAAGCCTTAAATATACTGGTTTGAAAAAGAAGTTGCAGATCGACTGCCGGATTTCATAGGTGATGGCAAACCGCTGAATACTATTAAAATTATTGGATTCTTAATAGTTCTGCTTCTCATCATTATTATCGCTGCTCTCATCGTTTGCATTTATTTGCGTGTGAAAAAGTTCGCTTTAATTTTATATAAAATATTCTATATTGAGAAACCAAGTAACAACCATAAATCTAGCAATCATAAAGGCAGTCAGAAATAGTTACCAAATTTAGCCGTTACTACGTAGTAATTTCTAATTGTTTGATGATTTTCAGATAGCCTAAATTATTCATATACAAGCTGTTATTACATTGTAGTATATAAATGAACTTTCACTCTATTAGAAATTGTTTGTTATCATAATTGAAGGAGTAGAAGACCGTCAAAAGTGCGTGAAATGGAATATGAAACGAATAATTATAATCCACGTGTATCGATGTCATATGACACCGCATCTCGTCCTGTAACTGCAGCACCGCCATTATTTCCACGATTGCATAACAGCAACTATCAAAAAGGTTTACCGACGGTTCAGGTTAGAAAATTTATTTTGAACTAGAAACGAAAAGAATCAATCTTTCACTCTTGCAGCATAACGTGTTAACAGACTTTTATAAAGTTTAACTTTTATAATATCGATTTCAATGACAGCGGAAGTCACACATAGTTTTGAAGTTATTAAGATTGAAATACTATGTGTAGGTGCGACCTTTGCCAATACACGAGCGGATCAGTAGCTCCTCGATAGGAGGTGGTAGTCGCTCTCCATCGTTAACAGGATCAGGCAGACGTCGTGTACGCCGAATAGCAGCGCCAAATTCAAAAAGTGCTGATTCGGATCGCTGTGATGAAATAGAGCCTGTATGTTGTCCTTCGCTAGCAATGGTTTTTTCTGTAGAAATTGGTAATTTATTTTTGTATTGAAAGTTTTGAATGTTATCATCAAATTTCAGCTTGCTGAAAACGAAGTGCTGAAGCGATCAGTCACGAAGTCATCCAATGATGAATTACCTGTTTCAAATCTAAATTATCCACTATCCGCGTATTCATTTAAATCATTTCATTTCTCAATTAAATTTTGGCATTTATACGTTGGAACTGTATTATTTGAGTTATGCTTCAGCCTTTCAGCATTTTAAAAATAAGTTTTTGTAGTTCACGATACAATGCAAAAATGAAGCGTTCAAGGAATACACGTATATCTGATAAGTACTCAGCAAAAGGTGATTGGCGTGCACAATGTGATAAGAGAGTAAATATTTCACGTTTTTGTCATTAGCTTTATTATTATAAAGTAGAGGAAGATTCATTGTAACGAACGCGAAGTAACTATCTAATGATGGAAAAATTTAGATAATCGGAGCTTGTGATGTAGCAGCTGAACGACGAAGCGTGCATTTAAAAAGCATCCCTGACAATACAGCATATGCTGTAAATGGTAAGAATTTTTCCAAATTAATCGTTTGCTAGCAAAATTCGATCCGACAAATGTTTAAGAAGCTGAAATTGTGAAAAACCAAAGAAAATTAAGCATTTTCATAATATTCTATTCAAGCAATAGTTGATTTAATTATTAATATTTGCAAATATTTGAGTTTCATTTAGTATCTTCTACAAATTTACGAGATAATAACACGGATGATTACATAACAATGCGACCAGTCCATAGGAGGTTAATATCACATAATTCTGCTGGCCAAAGCAAGCCACTGCTAGAAACAAGCGATAGCGATGGTTAGTTAATTTAAACTTCGTTAAATATTTGTAAATATTAACTTCTTTTATTGAATTTTTGTTCTTTTTTAGTACTTTTTCGCTTTTCTGAAGTATTATATGCGCTATGCGCTTTCAGGAATCGAAAGCAGCGATTTCTCATATCCCGATGAGGTTAAACCCTCGCAACAGCACATTCCACCTCCTCCACCAGCACATAATGTCATCAGTAAGAAAGTGAAGGAGGTTGCGTCAAGTCGTGTTTACGATGAGCCATCCTCTGGTTTTTCTGTTATTAACAAGCGTCCTGCCAAGTATATCAAGGTACAATTTTATGAGATTCATCAATTCCTTAAAAGTTTATTTATTTTCTTTTTATTAGTTTCTAAAAAATGTATGTGTGAAATTTATATTTGATAATTTATAGGATTTTCGCAAAATTGTTTTCATCAGTATATGATTCAGTAAGGTTGGCAATTATTAAAAATTTGTTGCTTACTTCGCTTATTGCGCAGGATAAATCACAGCATATTTAAAAATCACAGCATATTTGTATAAATCACAGCATATTTGAAAAAATTGATCTCTTGAATTTTAGCGAGCGTTATCAGCTGCAGAATTGACGCGTGAATCTCAGAAACTTGGTGAATTTGTTAACATTGACGACATCGATGGTTAAGCTACGTCACATGCTTCCACATACTCAAACATTCATCAAATGATGGCTGTCTTGTAATAATGCCGTAGAATTTACTATTTCTTTACATTCCAAAACTTTGTGGTAAACTGTTGCGTTTGCGTATGCATTTAAGTGCTTAGTTATAGTAATTTGGATATTTTTCATTTATGATGAAATGAAAACGTAATTTAGATTAAGCTAATGTATAACTGTTATTACGGGTTTTGGTGGCAACATTTGCTACTTCGATTGTATACTTCAGTCTTTAGGTATATATTTATAATTAGAAATGAATTTTGTTTAGAGTCAAGAAATTTCCAAGTTTGTCAAGGAAACGGATGAGTATGAAAGGGAGATACTTCTCTTGTATATACTATTTTACGAAAAATTGAAGCCTTTCAAGTTTTCAGTTGAAATTTTAGATTTCATACGACTGTATAAAACAAACATTAAGGAGAAGAATTTATCCTTCTACTACATCCGTTTAAAAAGAAAATCTCATTGTTTTTTATTTCTTATTGTTGGTAGTATTTTATGTTGACAATGATTTCGTTCACCACAAATTGGTATTAAAAGGTTAATAAGTGCACATGAGAAGCAATTGTGAGTATTTCGGAGTTTTTTGAAACTTACGGATTTTTTTAAATATCAATTTTGATTTTAAGGATGTACTCTTACTACTGCAACATAATTGACTGCCAAATGTATGAATCTTTTCTGTAAATTAACTGTCCATTTAATCAATTTATTTGGACGAATAATTCATCTCATATATCTTTATTGTGTTTGTCATTATACATAAAATTTCTAATTTGTTAGCCATTGAAGATGACAATATTTGCTATTACGGTCGTTTCACCCAATGTTTTTAATAATAACAGTGCTATCTACTCTTTTTTTTAATTTTTTTTCAGTAAGTGTATGGTTGATAGCGCTATTATTATTGTTATTATCGTAATTCTTGCGATTTAAGCCTTTTTTACAAGATCTACGATCATTCAATTCAAAATTGACTTGGTGTTAATATATAAGTTGAGTTTTCCTTCTTTTTATCTCACTAATCAACGCAAGAATAGGAAACACTTTATTCAGTTTTTGCTCATTTTTTACAGAATGCTGCGCATGTGTATTAATTTTACAGTAATTTAGTAGCTGATATATTTTTTTGAAAATATTTGAAATAAAAATCTGACTCGTATAAATGGATAAAATCGATCACGCATTCCACAGCTCGAAACACGTTGTTAAATTTACTACAGTTTTTCAGAGACTTAATTAACTGTGTTTATGGTATATGAAAAAATGAAGTGCTAATTATTGAGATATTTTGTTGAAAAATTTTCAGGTTTTTGCATATCTTGTAGATTGGAAGATTAATTAGAATGCAAAGATTGTTTGGAGTTAAAGTTACAGGGTAATGGCAGGAAGATTACATCCGTGTTACATAAGAAATTACATATGCTGCAGATAGGAAGTGCTTAGTATAGCAAAAAAACTTCACAGCCTATTCATTCATTCATTCTTGCATTCATTCATTCTTGCATTCATTCATTCGTCCATTCATTCATTCCATCATTTCACATCCAAACTCTCAGTTTCTGCCTAACTTTCGATCAAAAATGCCCCTTGACTACGCTGCTAAAGACTGCAGTGCTGAAGTCTTTTGCATTTATTTGCAGAAAAAATGTAAAGCATTAATAACTTGAACTTTTTACTTTTTAGCCTGATCTTAAGTACATTTTATATTATTTTGCTTCAACAATTTCCACTGTCTTTGCAAAGAAACATGCGAAAATTCCTTTGGGATTTATATGAATGATTTTACGTTTGTAACGCTTTCAAGCTTTTTTTCGAAAGTAATTTATTGCTTTTAATACTTTTTATTCCATCTTTTATGCTGCTTATTTGCATTAGAATAATGGAGCACAAATTGAAAATATTTATGAAATTCAACAAACTTCGAACTTTCTTTCTTCCTAAATATACACACACACACACACACTCACACACACACACACACCACACACAGTTTATCGAAAGAATAAATCAGAGGCTATTTTACTTAGTTTCATTTTATCATACAATCTCATTTGCAGTCTTTTGACTTCAATGGATTTACTCAAAAAAGTCTTTCTTTCAAGTTTGACTCCTCACTTTTCCTTCCAGCTTGAATAGAAATTCCAAAACTGATAACGAACAGAACACAGAATATTTCCAACACTTTAA